CCTCCACACCTCTAACCTCCCTCCTCCCCCCCCTCCACACCTCTAACCTTTCATGCTTGGGAGGTATTCAATTATTTTTTATGATTCAGAGGGGTTTCCATATCTCTGGAAAACATGGTTCCAATTCAATAGTTTTTTAAACAATCTGTTCTTTATTTTACACAAAGAAAAATAAAGATGTTTTTTGAATAAAATATATAATTAGGGTGTGTGAGCTTTGAGCAGTATAAAGGTACGAAGCATTATAATTATGTGAGCATCATCCTTGGAGATTTATCGAGAACCTCCATGGTCAACTCATCGTAGACCCCTAGACCTGTATAGTAAACTCATCGGAGAAAATAAAATTTTTTCCTCGGAGACCCCAAATTTTCATTGGAGACCCCATATTTTCATTGGAGACCCCATATTTTCATTAGAGACCTCAAGGCTCTCATCAGAGAACTCAAGCTTTTCATCGGAGACCTAGTTAGAGTTTGGGATAGGCACACAAGAGAAAAGCGTGTGGTCTCCGCTGAAAAGCTTGGTTTCCCCAATGAAAAACTTGGGCTCACCAAAGAGAAGCTAATGGATGACAATGAAAATCTGGGGGTCTTTGATGAACATCATCGGATCTTGGGGTTCTCTGATGAAAAAGAGGGCCTCTGATGAAGAATTGGTGGTCTCCGAAAAAATGTGTTGGGTCTCCAACAAAAAGTCTGGGGTCTCTGATCAAAGCTCTGATGAAAATCTTGGGTCTCTGATGAAAAGCTTGGGGTCTCTGAAGAAAAGCTTGGGGTCTCTGATGAAAAGCTTGGGGTCTTCAATAAAAATTCGGTATTCTGATAGTACTCTAATGATGATGATTTTTTCCCAAACTCTAAAAAATGTGTAATAATTTTTATGAAACTATTGTGTACTTTATCATTCATACTCACTTCATGATGAATTTTAAAATGAACGGGCTATAAAGTAATCATTGTGCTATAAAATTAAAATGCTGTATATATATTATAGCACCGTGCAAGAAGGTAATCATTGTTCTATAATATTTAGTTAGCTGTACATTATAGCCCCGTGCTATAAACTAATCATCGTGCTATAATATTTAGTTAGCTGTACATTATAGCCCCGTGCTATAAACTAATCATCGTGCTATAATGTTCAGTTAGCTGTACATTATAGCCCCGTGCTATAAAGAAATCATCGTGCTATAATGTTTGATTAGCTGTACATTATAGCACCGTGCTATAACGCTTTGATTGGTTCCAAAAAAAATTTTCAATTTAAATGAAAATAAAATTAAAATAAACTTTATGTTTTTCTTCTGCTCTGTTAAAACCTTATTGTATCTAGAAATAGCCATTGTATTACAATGATACAAGTTTGATAAATTACCTATAACACTATTATATCGGCACGACGTGCTATAAAGGTTTGTACTTAAATTTTCTCGAAGGTTCTCGCCTTTTTAGAATATTTTTTGTCTTTCGCTTTTATAACACTGCGTACCAAAATTCAAGTTTTATAAATGTTATTGAAATCTTAAAAAAAATATTTAGATGTTTTCGCAGTTGTACAATATTTTTCATAGAAATTAACCATGCATAATTTAAAATAGTCAGTTTTTAAAAAGGAACATGAACATGGGAAAGTCCAAATATACTCCATTGTTAACGCCTCTAAAAAGATTTTAAAAACAAAGATGTTTAAAACAAAGATTTAAAAAAAAGATTTTAAAAACAAAGATTTTAAGAAAAAAAGAAATGAAAAAAAATTTAAAAACAAAGATTTTAAAAACAAAGGTTGAAAACAACATTTTCCCACATTGTCGATAAAAAATGGCTAAAAATGGATGAATCATATTTAAGTTAAATTGTTAACTAACAAACTACATGTTACAAAATGTGTTACAAAGTACATGTTGCAAAATGTGTTACAAAAGAACTAATGTAGGTTTCAAAATTTGTAAGAAATTAAACCTGAGTCCGAATTTAATTTGAATTTGAGCCGCGTCTTAAATCCGCCAAAAACCGGTTTCACTTTAGCGCCAGCTTAAATCTCTACAAAATTGAAAACAATTTTAAGCATCAACTATTAAAGGGGCTGTAAGCCTAATTGTAAGCTTAATTCCAAAGATGACAATGCTTGATTTACAGCACTACCCTTGAAACTTTAATCTAGTCTAAAATATACTGAAAAAGTATTTAATTCTGATAATTGCTTCGTATAAGCAAGAAATAGTGAAGCCGCAGAAAATCCGCAAATAAAAAAGAAGAAACAAAAACATTGATTTATAATTTAACTTGATCAGTAAAAGCTTGTAGGTATACCGTTGTAAATCAGGCTTTGCTATTTTTGCATGGAGGGTCACTTGAAACTACGATTACGGTTCCTCTAACCAACGAGGTTATAGTGTATAGAGTGATGATGTACGCTAATCCTTTACTAATTTTATAGGTTATAAACTATACCGAGAGCGTACTGCATATTTGTTTATTATAAGTTGATTCTGGCCTAATTTATCAACATTAGTTAACAGTTGTAAGTGTCCCTGTGTTTTTCCTAAATAACTTTTTCACTTTTTCAACATCTTATAATAGTTGTGATCAAATTTTACGAAATTTTTTTATGCTTAGGGTAGGGTGGAGGACAGTCAAACGACGGTTCAGTGTTTGAAAAAAACTCAGAAATGCTTAATAACTTTTTATTAATTGTCCCCCCCAACATTAGACAAAAATAGCCCAGCTGGGTAAGGGTTCAGCTACGAGAAAATAGGTTAACCTAATGTAGAATTTATGTACATAAATGAATCGCTAACCCGATGTTATGATGGTTACACCCAAAACCCAACCAGACAACCGGGCGCCTGAAACCAACAACAAAAACGCCAAAATACGCATCCATATGACGCAAGCGTCTGCTGCGCCTGTGTTTACGCATATTACTCCGGAAAATACGAAACAGTGCGTATTTGAAGTATATTATTATTGTTATGAATCCGTGTCGGTTCTATTGTCTACCGTATAATTTCAGCGCCCAGAATTCCCGATGTTTATAATAGTTAAAGATCCTACAGTGTAGACTGTATATACTGTATATGTAAGGTTCAGATAATGAATGCTGAAGCAGTTGGGATTTGTCTGTCCGCTCGTTCACATCTCCCAGCGTTGAGATCACTTGATATGCATTGTTTACTCTTAATACTGGTGGTGGGTGTGGGTCAGGGGTTGGGTCAGGAGAACTACTGCCAGATCACCCCCCAGCACACCCTCTGTAAGCACCAGGGACTAGGAGCAGCTTGTGGATCAGTACTAGAAAATGGTCTAGGAGACCAGGAGATATCTCAGATATTAGATCATCACAACAGGTCAGACAAGTTCTCTCCGTTCTTTAGTTCTCAGTTCAATTTGTAACTAGAAAAAAGACCATAAACCTCTCCACGTGCAGCCCTCTCTCTCTCTCTCAATGCATCTTATATCGGGTTTCATTATCTCGACGCGGTGTTTTTTTAATTCGGACAACTTCAAAAGGTTTAGACTTTGGCAGCAACGTTAGGTTTTTATTTTATACAAAGCATGACAAAAAAAGATTTTGATAAAAGTAAAAAGAGAATTTTTTGACAACTTTTTGAATAGTAAAATATTTATATAAGAATGGGGTATTCTTCAACAAAGAGATTAAATCCATTTTCCATGTTGTGGAAATTGTCTGGATTCGAAAAAAACGAATTAAAGAAATTTTAGAAAGATTAAATATTATTAGTCAAATGAGCTATGTCCATGTTTTTTTACATTTGAATTGTTATTTTTCTGTAAAGTACAAACAGAAACAATGAAATTTATTGTCAGAATTAAACATATGCACTTTTATTTTAAGCTAGAAAAATAATATCTCCTACAATTTTTATCAGATAACGGTTTGAAGTGAACAGTCCTTTTAAACAATCTTTTTACCCCCTTTAAGATTGCAGATTATTAATTAATTATTTATTATTAATTAATTATTTATTAATAATTAATTATTAACTATTAATTAAGATTATCAAGAAAAAATATATCTCACGAGTTTAATTTTGATAAATTATTTAAAATAGTTATATTTAAATTTCATCAGCTTTTCGGGGGAGTTTATCCAGCTCTTTAATGCGTCTATTGTGCCTCATGATGAGGATTAGGAAAGCACTAAAAGGCGTATTTTATTATTGTTTAAAAAATTTAATTTAATTCAACGGTTTGTTGGTTGTCGTCTTTGTTACGTAGAGTAAAATATTTGGGTGGATTATAATACTTCTTAAAACAAAAAATCAGTAAACCCTGACATTTTCAAAATATGTTCTGGCTCTTTTAGGCTCTGAGGAAGAATTTCGTTCATGTTTAGATCTATATAAAAAAAGTAAAATTGTTCCAAAATCAAAATGTATGTCATCTTTCAAAACGCAATCAGCCAAGCTATGTTTTGGATAATTGATAAAACACATTTTAATTAATTAGCTATCATACTATTTCATGTCGTCTTCTTGTTTGAGTAAATTTCAACTTGAATTTGATCTGGTTTTGGTCTATAAGACTATAAGTCTATAAGTCTATAAGTCTATAAGTCTATAAGTCTCTATAAGTCTATAAGTCTATAAGTCTATAAGTCTATAAGTCTTTACCAGAGTTGTCTTGAAATGCATTTCCCTTAAAAACGCATAAAAAATCGAAAACTTTATGTTCAATATTTCAAATTGTGACCGAAGGTCTTTCTTTAAACAATTTCACAAAGAAAGAAACAAGTTGACAGTTGCAATGAATATAAGGAAACAGACTGTATAAATTCCGTACAGTCGTCCCTGAAGTCTCATTGACTGTGAGTAATCCTGTAATCTATAACAAACCTGAGTTCAATTCTTTGTTTACAATCAAATACTACCAATCTATATTCTGTTCAATCTTTGGTTTATTTCCACTGAATTTGCCGCAGTAAAAGATGCATAAGTATATACATATATATATATATATATATATATATATATATATATTTATCTAAATAAAGTGTAAAACATGAAAGAATTGAAGACTCTGGTCTGTTTTCAACATTTGAACACAAAGAACAACTTGTATAATATGCACTCACCCCTCTTTACAATCTAAATATGCATGACTGTACACAATTAATTTAAAATTGGAAATAAGATTAGAACATTTTTAAAAGCTTCATGCAGGAGATGTCAACATAGTTTATATACTCACATCAAACAAGACCAACGGCTATGCCAAGAAACATAAGTTTTCGGTAAAGGCAAATTTTTTTTTACTAAGCCACAAGTTTTTTACGTTTGTTTAAAATTCAAAAATATTTAAATTATTTGACGGGTTCTAGCTAACGTATATTTTTTAAGTTGTAACTGTAAGGAAGGAGGGGGTTTAAACTTAATTGAAAACATATGCCATTTTTATTGTCAAAAATATGTGTTTAACATATAGTATGGCCACATTTAGAAAGACTTCAGAATTTTTGTTTTCTTAATTATTCTCTGCCATCATGAACTTGTTTATGTCTTAACCTTATCATTACCTTGGCGAAGTTGCAAGTACATTTGATAAGATGCCACTTGGGAAATTGACACTTGGGAAGTCGTTCTTGGGAAAATGCTTTTTGGAAAGTACCTAACACAATTCAACTAACCCTCCTTAATATAAGAGTCACATGTTCGATTACCAATGGTATCCGTTAAAAATTCGTCGTAGCAAAATGTTAAAGATATTTCTCTATTTTCTACGGGACACAACAGTGTTGAAATTTATATGGAATCCTTGTGAATCTGGAAATTTCTTATTTTGGGGTCACTTAAAAAACCCTAGACAGTCCCTTTATAGATTTCAATAGATTTATAGACAGTCCCTTTATAGATTTCAATAGATTTATAGACAGTCCCTTTATAGATTTCAATAGATTTATAGACAGTCCCTTTATAGATTTCAATAGATTTATAGACAGTCCCTNTGGGAGGGGGGCACCGTTAGAATTAGATATTGAAATATTATTCATGGTTTTCTTCAAATATATTTATACATAGATTTTTCACTTTTTTTATTCATGGACACTTAAGTCTTATACAGTTGTACAACTGTACACTAAAAACTGTACAACTGTACACTAAAGACTTGTACAACTGTACACTATAAAGACTTGTACAACTGTACACTAAAGACTTTTACAACTTTATACTAAATATATGATATTATATTTTAGCTGACAGAAATATATCCACACAGACTCTCAGACAGAAATATATTTACACAGACTCTCAGACAGAAATATATCCACACAGACTCTCAGACAGAAATATATCCACACAGACTCTCAGACAGAAATATATCCACACAGACTCTCAGACAGAAATATATCCACACAGACTCTCAGACAGAAATATATCCACACAGACTCTCAGACAAACTGGAAAATGAATTTACAGCTATATGGAAGAAAGTTATAATCTAAATATACAAATATGCATTTATATTCTTTAAGCCCAGCTGTTCCTTTATTCTATTCCCCTGTGGGGAACAGACGCTCTAACTTTATTTTCTTCTACCATCTACTTTATATGCATATTAAATTAAAACAAATTGAATTTCTAAAAATTCATATTTTCAAAAAATCAGTAATTAAATTGGTAATGCTAGGCTGTACGTAGATATTTAATTTAAGCATACATTACGCTGAGTATTTTTTTTATATAATTTTTACCAAAAATCTGATCAAATGTTCTAAATCAAAATAAAAAGAAACCCAAACGTGTTAGTCCAATGTTTAAGTTTTGACACCTCCTATGTAATTTTATTTTATAGACCTAGAGGTAGGAACTCTTGTGTGATACCTATATTCTTGATCGCTGTCGAGATCTCTTAGTTTTGGATATCTGCAATTTCTCTTTTATATCATTTGTTAAACGAAAAGTTCCCTGGCTTCTGGTTGGCTGTTTGGGTTTACCACAGACGACACTCTTCAAGTGATATCAAATTAAAGATTCAATCTGAGACCAATGATTGATCTCGATATCCACGGTTAAAGAGTTCCCGTCCTAGTCCATGTTCTAAAAGACCTGAGCTGAAAACTTTAGAATAAGATATCCTTAATCACGATCGCTTAATCTGATTATCCAATGTACACACTTTTGATTTTCTTCTTAATCCTCTTTTTGAATATTTCTACAGTATAAAAGTTACGTTTGATAAGAATTACAGATACTTAATGCTATATCAATTGGACTAATATCCGATTGAATTAAATTCCGCTGTTTACAACTTTTACAAGCCGGCTTTTAGAGAATTCAAAGAAATATAAATTTAATCATATTAATATGAAATTATTAAAAAATATATTTCAGAACTATTGCAATTTTGAACGTTAGTCTTAATAGACATTTATCCAAAACTTATGTTCGTTCAATCGATGTTTAGTTCAATTGATATGACACCATCAACACCAGAAATAAAAACCGGGTTTTTAAAAGTTATGTTAACTTGACACGCTGATTGGTTAAATTTCTTACTTTTTTCTTGGATATCGAATGTGTTGTAAGACAATCTTGGGTTTAGTAAAACCAGGAGTTTAAGTATTAATCTTGATATCCACCATTCTAAAGTTTTCAGCTCAGGACGCATATATTAAATATCTTAAAACTTTATTCAAATCGGTCAAAACTAAAGTTTTATTAATTTCCTTCATATTTTAGAAAACACAAAGTCTTGGTACCAACTTTAAACTAAATGTTGTTTTTGATTCTAGGCTTCGAAGTCGCGTAGCCGTAGGGTCAACTGAGCAGCCTCCGGCCTCAAATATGTTGGTCCTAACCTGGGATACTGAACTAGCCAGGTAGTTAAAAACGAAGTCAAACTTTAGAGAAATCCAACGTATAGAAACAGTTACGTATAGCAACAAGGCGTATTTTCCGGGAGAACATTTTTAATATTTTTGAGAAATTAAACGTTTTTGTAAAACATTGTACCTTATCATTATCATTATCATAATTTCAATTTTTTTAACATACCCTAGACATTAAAGGAGCAAAATAGTTTAACATGTACATTTGTACTGCTCTCTATTGTATTTAATGTTCCTCAGATTTTATTATGTACTGACCACATAAATGAATGATTATATAGTTATACATAAAATTGCGTGTTACTATGAAAAACAAATATTTTATAAAAATGCTATCTACAGTTTAATTTTTAGAAAAAATTTCTTGTAAGTATAAAAAAGTTCTCTAGTAATGCTAATATGATTTCATAAAATTCCGTTTTACCATTAAAAATAAAAGGATTTTATGAAAATTATATCTACTTTACACTGATTATTAAATTTCTTAAAAATATAAAAAATGTTCTCCCGGAAAATACGCCTTGTTGCTATACGTAGCGGTTTCTATACGTTGGATTTCTGTAAGGTTTGACTTCGATAAAAACAGCCTCCGATCCTCAATATTTTGGTCCAAACCTGTGATACTGATCGTACTTGCAGGTAGATAAAAATAAATAGCTTACGGCCTCCGAAATTTTGGTTCTAACCTGGGATACTGATTAAGTAAGGTAGAAAACAGCTTCCGGCCTCCGAAATGTAGGTTCTAACCTGTGATACTGATCGAACTCGCCAGGTAGATTACAAAACAGCCTCCGAAATGTAGGTTCTAACCTAGGATACTGAACTAGCCAGGTAGATAACAAAACAGCCACCGAAATGTAGGTTCTAACCTGGGATACTGAACTAGCCAGGTAGATTACAAAACAGCCTCCGAAATGTAGGTTCTAACCTAGGATACTGAACTACCCAGGTAGATAAGAAAACAGCTTCCGGCCTCCGAAATGTTGGTTCTAACCTGGGATTAAAAACTAGCCAGGAAGATGATAAAACAGCCTCCGGCCTCCAACATGTTGGTTTTAACCTTGGATTATGAATTAGCCAGATAGATAACAGAACACCCTCGGACCTCCAAATGTAAATGTAAATTGGCACTTTATCATTTTCTATTCCGTGCAATTCCGCGCAACGGAATTCTTACTGTACTCTTTCAACCTTTGTCTGAGAAAAATCATGGAGATATTCTTTTTTTTCTTTCTGGTTCAGGCCTTAAAACCGTTAAGTTTTTCAGAAGCTAAATTGGATCCCAAAACTGTTTAAATTTATTTAAATAGCAGAGATATTTGTCGAATAATATTTCGTTTTTAGGATTGCACAGGCTTTGGCTGAGACCTGCAAGTTTCAACACGACTGTTCGGACTGCAGGTATAACCATATCGTAGTACATGGTGTCCCAATAAACATGGGAATTCAGTGGCTTCGATCCATGAGGCATTTTTTCTTGAACACAATAACCGAAGTGTTCCAGTTTACACATCTAAAATCGAAAACGCCTGGTCTCGAGATTTTCAAATATGGCTACCATTTTTGTATCTTCAAAGCGGAGACAGAGATATTGCAAAATTTGTATAAATTTCAATTTATTTAATATTAAAATAATTGCCTCAATGTCTAATATTTTCGTCCGTTTTTAAGACGCAGTTTATGAAAAGCTCGTTGACGTACAGCCTCGTTTTTTACATTCTTTGCCGTGCTTTAAATATCAGAAATCAAAGACGGCTTTCAAGTTGTCACTCAATTCCCATGTTTATTGGGACACCCTGTAGAAAGAAACAAAATTCAAAATTTTTAAATTCAAAGGTCTACGACATTGGGTTTCGAAGATATAGGGATAATCAAAATCATCAAGGGACATTTTCGGGTGAAAACAGAAAATACTTTAAATAAAATAAATTCGGTTTATCTGACACCACACTCTAAAAGTTGCTTGCCGGTACAACATGTACTGGCATTCAGAACAATGCAAGAAGCACTGTCTACTGTCCAGTCTAGACAGTGTAGACTGTAGAGTGCAATTAGGGTTTCCAATCGGAATTCCGTTGCGGGGAATTGCTCGCAACTGTGGGGAATTGTGCGCAACTGTTCTCGAATTGCGCACCATTGTGCAAAATTGCGCGAAATTGCGAAGAGTTTACGGGGTTCTAAATTGCACGCAAGTAAATCCACTTGCGAGAGAAACCCTATGTGCAATACACAGATCGATCTAAACTGTCAGTGTAAAAAAAGATACAATTTCAAAGTCGGAACAAATGTATTCATTTCTGTAAACAATTAAAACTAGATTAAATTATACTTTAAGATCGTACAAAGTGCATTGTTTTCCGAGATTGCAAGTCGAAAATTGGTAAACTAAATCTTAGAAGTTAAGAAACTTGATTTAAGATATCCAATTTCTTGTAAACAGAATACTGTCAGTACAAATGCCAAACATGGAATTTATTTTTATTTTTCTAAATGATTCAAACAAAGTCTAAAATCGAAATTATCCGAAATATTTTTAAAGGGACTGTAGAAATAAATTATGATCTGAGTGCGAATTTAATGAATTTGAGCCGCGTCTCAAATCTGCCCAAAACCGGTTTTATTTGAGTGCCGGCTTAAATCTTGAAACAATGAATACAATTTTAAGTGGAACCAACTTTATTTGAGCCGCGTCTCAAATTTAAGCCGCGGCTCAAATTCTTTAAATTCTGCCTCTGCGCTATCAACTAGAACGAGTGACATGCAGCAGCAGAAATGGAAACATTAATTACGTTTATTGACTCTTCTACATATAATCCGCAAGTCCTTTTATAAAGAATTCACAATTAGAAATGATTAATTTTTAGATAGAAAAGGAGGATATTTTCACATTTTTTAAAGGGTATCAATCTGAATCGAACAATAGTGGAATGTCACCGAATATACGTCTACTTGATGTCCTGTCAAGATTGCATTCATAGATTAATCAAAATAACAGATAAGACACTAGATGTCGTCTTTTAAAGATTTATGTGTGTTTCGTTCGCAATAACCCTGGGGTAGAAGCCCAAAGAAATTACACGTAGTCGGTGTAGAACAGGCTCTTTCTCTGTCTTGTTCTACGCCAACTATGCGTAACTCCTTTGGGCTTCTGCCTTATGGTTATTATGAACGAAACAAACATAAATCTTGAAAAGACGACATAGAGTGTACTATCTGTTATTTGATTTAATCAATGATTGTATTCAATTTTGTTTTCATTAAAACTTCATATATCTGATTTTAAATCTTAAATCTATTCAAAAGAGCATTATCAAAAAGAAATTGACCTGTAAAAATATTGTTTTAAAGTTTAAGTATCGACTCTGTATTTGAAAGAAGCAGAAAAACGTACTGAGCTGGGAACTTTAGAATGAGATACCATTAATCCCGACTGCTTAATCCGAATATCCAATGTGGACACTTTTGATTCCTTGCTGAATCCACTCTTTTTTGGATGAAGTACAGAAAAATCAAAAAGCGGTTTTTTTTAAATTAAGAGTCCTTCCCGTTTCTGTTTATTAATCCAAAATGGCGCAAAAAATTTCTAATATACCGGCTTCTGATACGGGACTCTGATTGGTTGAATTTTATACACTTTTCAGAATACAGTACAAGATTATATTAGTCTCGAGATTAAGAAAAGAGAGGATTAAGCATTAATCTCGATATCCACCATTCTAAAGTTCCCTGCAGCTCTGAATATGTATTGAGTTCTAAAAGTACAAATATAACTAGATCTCGTGTATATTACAGAAAATGATTTGGTTTGGTTTTATGACTTGGAAGACGACTTTAGTTGATCCTCTACATTTACACGTTTATTTATTATTCAGGAGTGTTAACAGGTTTAGAGTGGGGCAGAACATATATCAATCTTTTACAACAAGGTATATTTCAGGACACTTGGCACCCCTCATTTATAGTAATTATTTTTGCTTTTAAATTAGTTTGTCCAAGGAACTATATACAGGAACTCTCAACTCGGATATACGCAAATTATGTACAGTACACTGTGGGAGGAATGTAAACAAACCCAGTGCTCTTACAGAAGCTGGAGGGAAAGGACTAAAGCTCTGATGTGATATTACAGTCCAACAAAAAACAAGTTAATATATCAAGTTAAAGCGAATACTCATGTTTTTGCCTTTCTGGTCAATATGTAAAATACAATAGCAATATATTCTTATTCCACCCCTTGGACCCTTTTCTCTCAAAAATGATGCGTTGCCCCTGAACTCTTTGTTTTGATCTCCTCCCTCTGCAGTACACAGATTTGACGCATAAGATATGGCGGTTCCCGGTCTATTTTTTCCTTGAGTTTGTCTGTTTTTAGTATTTCAAATTTAAAAAAAATCGGACAAACAAACAAACAAACAAACAGACACCCAGACCCTTAAACAGAGATTACAACTTTATATAAATAGATATCAGCATTCTAGGGGTTCTCTTGGCTTTTGAACGTCCGGTGTGCGAATTTAATAAATTTGAACCGCGTCTCAAATCCGCCAAAAACCGGTTTTACTTGAGCGCAGGCTTAAATCTTGAAAAATTGAATACAATTTTAAGTAAAACCAACCATATTTGAGCCGCAGCTTAAATTTAAGCCGCGACTCAAATTCTGTAAATTCGGCCTCAGGTGTCCAAATAAACAGAAAAATAAAAAGGCTTCCAATTTGTCTTTTCTCAACACGGAATTATCTCATTCTCAGTATACGTAAACCTTAACTTAAAACACAAACTAGTCTGATTGTAAAGTTAAATCATTACTGATTGAAGACAATCAGAAGTTTATCCGTAATCCAAACATTATTTATACTATTTTCTTCTCAAAATAATGTTCAAGGTTACCCCTTAAACGTTTTGAATGAATTAGATCTGCATTATTCTGTTTCTTTAAACTGTTATTTGTATTATCTACTTTAATATCTTCCACAATTTTGATACCGTTGTAACATGTCATGTTTCGTGGGACACCCTGTATGTTCTGAAATAGGAAGACGACTTTTTACTTCTCACTGTATAGTGTATATTGAGTCAAATTGGAAGCTAAAGATATGGCAAGGTTTGTTTTAACTATCCTTAAACTGGGTTATTGCTTGAATTTTTACATTTTACTTCACAGGAAGTGAATCCTCAATTTTTAGAATATTATGTCCGATTGATAACTGTCAGATGAAAAATTATGGAGAAATCCTTTTTTTTAATTGACCATTTCTAATGTTGAGTTTCACTCTAATAGTGACTTTCAAAATCGTCCAAGTGAGTAAAAAGGAAATTTAAAAAATTGATCTGTCTTTTTGTAAAAGGAGGTTCACTTGAAATTTTTTGGTTAGTCCCTTTAAAGGTTACTTGGTCGAAGGTTAAAACTTAAAATTAAAGAACTTATGGGACCACATTTTATAAATAGAATTAGAGGAGCTATGCAGACATATTTGAACCACTTATGCGTCGGTTCAACTTGATAGTTGTTCATAAAATCTGGCCCCTAAACGATTTCTTATTCTTATAGGAATGGGAGATTTAACACTCGTCTATATGTTTGTAACTACGGAGAGGGAGGAAATACACTTAGGCAGCCGGTATATAAAATAGGCAAACCATGCAGTGCATGCTCAGATACATGCTCATCAGAGTTTCCTGGTCTCTGCAACAGCATGCCGGCATCCTGCGGTAGTCTCATGTGCATGCTGAACAAACCTGTAACAGCTGTGTTTAATAACCCTGTCTCAGCTGCCGGCAGTATGGCTGTTGAAACGGCCCACACCGTTGGCGGGACCGCTATGCAGGTTGGGCATGCCGCGATGAACACCGTTGAGACCTTTACAAACCTTGTGAATACCGGGGGACAGACCATCGTTAATAACGGGTTCCGTCCTGTCAACAATCTCGTGATGAACGGGTTTAACTTCGCCACCAGACCGTTCTTCTCTCCGATTAGGTTTCCAACAACATTCTTTACTGGCAAGAAATGAAAAAAAAAATGATAAAAGGCCGTTGTATGTAAGGGTTACCCCCATAGGATGAGACTTCAGAGACGACTGTACAAAATTTCTGTTTCCTTACATTCATGATTCCTTGCAACTGTAAACTTGTTTCTTTCTTTGTCAAATCATCAAATAAGTCATAATTTCAGATAATATTCAAAGCAGAAGACATAAAATTACCTTGAAATCTTGATGTTAAAGAGTTTTAGGTCGTCTTTACAGTCTCATCCTTTGTGGGTAACCCTGTAAATTATGTAATCTGTTAGTTAACATCTAGCAGAGGGAACTCAAACTTTGAATTAAAATATTTACAATATTTGCAATGATGATTGATATACTTGATTTATACATAAATAAGTTCTTCTTTTTTCAATCTAAGAAAGTGCAAAAGATTTGTAATTTATTACCTTGATTGAATTAGGATGAATGAATTGCACAATTACAAATTTGATCATCCTATACCGTCATTTTTAATCTAAAAACATCTCAGCATAGAAGACAATTGTTATAAGATTTATATGTTCTTATTGCACAGTTTTTTTTTTAAATCAGACAAATCAATATTTAAATCTTATTTCGATTCTTTAAATTATAGTTAAAACGTTTTGCATTATCTACAGATCTAAAGATCTTTGCTTTTAGGCAGTTTAGGACCATGCATATTTAGATTTACAGGGTGTCACAAGAAACATGGTAAATTTCAAAATTGAAATGATCAATTCAATATTTGGTAATTAATCAAGATATTAAACATAGAGATAATTTTGGTTTTATTTCACAAATTGGGGCGAAATAAAAAACAATTAAAATATTTTCTCAAGTTATTTCTAGTATTATCAAGTGGAATAATTGAAGTCTGAGTTATAATTAATTTCTATGTTTATTGGTACACACTGTACTTTTCATGATTGGTTTTTTTATCCTGCAAAGAGTTCTTAAATATATTTTACAGGTTTTTATACTTAAACTTCATTGGTTTACTGCAGCATTCAATATATATGACTGATATAAATTATTTGAATTTTTGCATTGACAAGATTTTTTAGTTTAGTTAAATTAACCTGAAAAAGTCTTAAAATTTCTGGGTAAACTTTACTCTGTTCAAAACATGACTTTTTGAAACATACAAATTTTTAAATATCCTCTATTTATGTATTTAATTATTTATGAAATCAATAATTGTATGTATTTATTCATGAGCATTAAATAAATGGTATATAATATATCCAAGTTATTTTCTAAACAGAAATAAGATAGGTATCTTTCAATACCTTTAGATAGATAATATTTATACCTTAAAGATCGACAGTCTAAGTTTGAGGGCTAATGTTCTGTATGTTGGAACCCCCCCCCCTCTCCCCAACCGTGATAAAGTTTAACAAATTTCAATAAATTTAAAATCGAAACCAAATAACTACTTGCTTGAACTATCTACCCCGGGTCTCCTTAAAAAGGCAGAATTCTGATAAAACTTTTGCTATTTCGACAAGATTAGAAATAAATGATTTTCAAAATATATTTTGGGCAAACAATTAACAGTGTCTAATTTTAATGACATTTAATGATTTTTAAGACTGACGCAATAGCTACAGTTCTTAATCGATTTTGCTTTTTTAAAGATTGAATTGAGCTACTAAACATTTTCGATTTGATGGGGAAAACTTTTGTCATGTTTTTAGCAAATTATACATAGGGTGTCCCACGAAACATGACAGTTGGTAAATAGTTTAGAATGTCGTCTTCCATACACTGTATTAGATATTAAAGGCTGTTTGCAGTTTATTTCGTTTAAAAAATCTTTTGCTCAAATATATTTTACTTTGAAGTTAATTTTACGATAATATGACTCCTTTATAATATTTTTATTATTGTCTTTGGTATCAAATAAATTAAAAAATTATGGAAGAAGACATTTTAAAGTGTTTACCAACTGTCATGTTTCGTGGGACACCCTGTATCTAACTAGCTGGAGCGACCAGCGTTGGCCAGGTTTCGTAAACACTTTGTAGCATGGATTGAATTTTAGTTAATCCTTTGATGCTAAACCGAAACAAACAATTTTCAAAAACATAAAAAAAATTTGAATTACATCCCACAAGAAATTTTAAGCTGATAGTTTAAATGTCTTAAACTAACCAAATAATCGGTTAAAATTAATCCCTTTGTCAAATACCTTGGTTGTATTGTATTGTATCCAGCTATTGCCATGAAACGTCTGAACCGATGTGGGTCCGTTGCCGCTGCTGCAGGGGAGGATAGCAAAAAAGCAGGTAAATCGGCAAAATGTTTCTGAAATGTTGAACACGTTGCCGCAGCGTCTGGCCCTCTACATTTTCCTAACTGTAGCATTCGCCCCCCCCCCTGCCTGTCCTAGTCGCAGCGCTCGGCCCAAAATAGGCAGCCTATACCTAAAATAATATAGTGATAACCAGAAAACTCTGGAACAGGAAGTCGACTTTTAAACTCAAGCTATGACTTTAAATAGTACCATGAGCACGAGGCACGGTAATTTTGGAGAGTAAACAGACCCATTTCACTTAATAAGTGCTTTAATAACTTATTAGCATAACTGTTTGGTTCGTAACAACATTAAA